TATATATATATATATATATATATATATATATATCTGTGTCATTGTAAACTACTTGTACCTGATGATGACAAAACCTCATTGAATACTTAAGTTCTGCACACACTTTCAATGTTGTAATCTTTTGGTTTTGTTTCACTACTTGTGTTAATGCTTGTCTGTTACAGTCTGTCAGATTAGTTTTGACAGACTTTTATGTTTGTCTGATGTGAGTTTTTTTCAATATCCATGTTGACATCACATTTTTACACTGTTCCTTTGGATGAATTCATTATTTTAGATTTAATGTCACTGAGCATTCAACTAGAGGATCATGCTTCTTTGGAAGGCTGACAAACTGTTTTTAACTTGACATTTTTAGAACCTTTCTCTGGAAAAAACATAATACTATTCATTTACAGATAAATTCAACAATATAGAATAATTTAATGCACAGTTAAATTTTTTCCTCTTAGAAACACAAAACTTTGAGTTCAAAAGATTAGGTGTTTCTTTTTTTTCCCAACCCCTTTAAAAATTGGAAGCAAAAAAATACTGCATAGCTGAAGATTGAAATGTTTGATATGAGCATAATATGTTTTTCAGAGCTAAAAAATAGTCCACACTGTATGGAGATATCTGAATAGGTGTTAACAGAACCTGTGTATTTAAAAATGTTGAGTGGTGGTGTTGTGAGGTGAAATTTGTTACAGAAATAGACTCTTTGGTGTGAAGGGGTCTTGGAACCATTTAAAGAGCTGTTCAAAATAAATCATATTAAGATATTCATTTTCCTCTATTGGTAAGATTGCTATCAGTTCAAACACCTATTATAAAAAAAATATGCTTGTGTTAAATCTCTTTGTTTATATATAAAATATTTTTCTTCATATCTTATAAAATAGTTTCCTTTGACATAAAAACATTCAGCTTCTCTTGTAAATAAGACTTAGTGGTTATCATGAGAGATTCAGATCAAAAGATACAAAGTTTGCACCACATTACTGTTTAACTTGCCCTGTACTATCAGTTGTAGTAATAAAACTCGCAGTTAATCCTATCATTCAGTTCACATGGCCAAACAAAGCCCTTGTGGTGGCAGATGCTGGTGGCTTGCTGTTCAGTAGTTTAAAATTAGGAATGGCTATATGGTGTCTGAACGTGGATATATGGCCCACGTGCACTTTAAGATACCATTCAGATTAAACTTGCCATTTGATGTAGTAATTAAGTTTATATATATATATA